AGTAATACACTACCTGCCAGAGACTCACTTCAGATTAAAAGATGCAAAGAAGATAAAGAGAAAAAGACAGCAAAAGATCGGTGCTCTGTTGGGGTTTATATCTAGATGTCCCCCCAAAGCTTCATATGCTCATAGGTGGGGCTTTTGGGAGGTGACTGGGTCCTGGGGCTGTGAGACTGGGCTCATCTGCTGATGAGTTTATAGGTGGGTGTAATGTTGGGAGATGAAGCCTGGTTGGAGGAGGTCACTGGGGTGTGGCCTGGAAGGGTTTATCTCCCTCCTTCCTCCTTTATCTCTCTTTGCTTCCTGCCATCATCCCATGAGCTGCTTCTTTGCTATGCCCCTGAGCCACACCACACTGCCTTGGGGCCAGCTGACTGGCTGTGAGCCAAAATAATTCTCTCCTTCAATTTGTGGGTGTGGGTATTGTGTCTCAGTGATGAGAAAGTAAGACAGTATGCAAACAAAAATCATACGAGAGCTGGAGTGGCTGTAGTAATTACAGACAAAATGGACTTTACAATAAGAAATATTATTAGAGACCAATAATAATGACAAAGTGTCCAATACATCAAAAAGATGTAATGAATATAAAGGTTACATAAAGCTAACAAGAAATCCCTAAAATATATGAAGCAAAAACTGATAGAATTGAAAGGAATTGACAATTTAATGATTATAGTTACCCTTGATAACTAAAAGACCAAAAAAGCAGAAAATTAGCACAGCTATAGCAGACCTGACCAACACTATCAACTGAACTGATGATGTAAGAGACATTTCTGAAATCTCTATCCCCTGCAAAACATACTGTTTCCAGTGTGTGTGGATACTCCGAGACAGACCACAGGGCAAGCAGGCCAGAAAACAAGTCTCAGAAGAATTAAAGGACTGGAATCTACTCAAAGTGTATCCTCCAATAGCAAAGAAATATAAAATAAACACCAAAAAAGACATCTGGAAAATTCTCAATTCTTAGAAATAAGGCAAAACCACAGCATATCAAAAGTTATGAGGTACAGCTTAAATAGTGTGTAGAGGCCACTTGGACTTTTAAACAACCACATTAGAACAGTTTTACATCAATAATCTAAACTTCCACGGGGGTGAAGGGCGCACAGGTAATGGGGAAAAAAATAAGAACCAAGATTCATCATGTACAGGTACAAGCACCCAATGATAAATGTAAACGTATTGTATACCTAAAATGTACCAATAAAAGAATTTTTAAAAAAATAGTTCAAAATCAATCATCAAAAAAAAAATCTAAACTTCCACTTTTAGAATAAAAAAGGGTGCATTAAACCTAAAGCAAGCAGAAGGAAAGAAAGAAAATCAGAGGGAGAAATCAATGAAAAAAGAAACAAAAAGTAATAAAACAATTTAAAAACCACGGTTCTTTGGAGGAAAAAAAAAATCAAACTTGAAAAAACATTTAGCTCTTGTTACCATTGCTGCCTTGTGTGTGCCACGTTGTTCCTGCTCTGCTATGCCAGTTTGTTGTCCCTGCCTTGGAGTTGGCTGATTATGGACTGAAACCTCTACAAACTGCAAGCCAAATAAACCCCTTGCCCTTTAACTTTGGGTTTCTGGTATTTTGTCTCAGCAACAAGAGAAAAATAACTAACAAAGACATTTGGTACCAGAGAAGTGGGGTCGTTGCTGTGACATTACCTGGCCATGTGGCTCAAAAGCCTTTGGAGCTGGCTTGCGGGAAGAAGAGTTAGGAGAGATCCAGAGATGCTGGCTACAGAAGCAGCTCTGGAATGCCTTAGGTTGTTCTGTATGGGAGATTCTGGTCAGAGCTCAGAAGACCAGAAAGCTTATAAAGACCAGACTGGGAGGGTTTCTGTTAGGAAGGACTGCATTGGCTGTTGGACTCCAGATGATGTGTGTTCTGGCTTGGCAGAAAGTTTGTCTGCATTTTGTTCGTGTCCAGAGACTTTGCCTGAGACTGAGATTAGGGGCGGTAGACTAATTAATCTTGCAGAAGAAATTTCAAGGCAGTCATATTGAGCCAGTGGCATGGCTACTGTTGGGGGCTTTCAGCCAGATCTATGTGGAGAATCAAGAGCAAAGAGACCAGCAGAATGATTTAAAACATTTTGAGTTGAGCCAGAAAGGAAGCTCTAGTAAAGCTGTGGACTGCAAAGACAGAGCAGAGCAGATCTTGATTACTGAGAAGGAACAGGAAAATAGAAAAGGTGGCTTGAGAGCATCACAGGAAGCAGCAGGACTCCACACTTTGCGGGCTCAGAGTTATAAAGGTGAAGGAATTTGCTTTGAGAAAAAAGCCCCAGAGAACCAGTTTCCAAAATGGTGACAGCCACACCATGGCGGCAGCCTAGGGAAGCTGTTCCAAAATGGCGGCAGCCTAGAGAATTTGTTCCTTGGGATTGGGTTCAGAGTGCTCAGCAATCCAGGCACTCGACCCCTAAAGCCGAGAGAGGGAAGACTGGCTACTGCTCCAGCTAGCAGCAGACCTTGGCACCATCTGTGTGGTGCTGGTTTTAGGTGCATGCAGAATGCAAGAGCTGTGGGGTCAGGAAGGCTTCCACCCAGATTTCAAAAAAAGGCCCGGGGGGCCAGGCAGTGTGCCCCTGAGAGGGCAGTGTGTGAAGCTGAAAGTGCAGTTGAGACACCAGAAGTTTGGAGAAGCCAGGAGCGTGGATCATCTGAGGAAAACTGCAAGGAGGGAGCAGAGCCAGCCCGAGAGAAGCCATGGGAGCTACAACCACAAGAAATGCCACAGGGGCAGAGCCACTCAAGCCCTTAGGAGTTCACAACTTGCCACAGATTTCTGGGGACACTGGAAATGGAACTGTGGGATTTAATGCTTCCCCTACTGGATTTTGGACTTTGGTCCCATTCCTCTATATCCTCCTGTTTGTACCTTTTGGAATGGCAATGTCTATCTTGTGCCATTGAATGTTGGAAGTGTTTGACTTTCTTTTCATTTGTACAGGGGCCTGCAGTTAAGAGTTTTCCTTCAATCTCAGAGAAGACTTTGGACTTGGACTTTTCAGCAATGCTAGAATGGTTAGGACTTTGGCAACTCTTAGAGATGGACTAAATCCCCTTTGTGTAAAGGAATGTACATGAATCTTTGGGGGGCCAGGGCAGAATGTTATGGTTTGGGTCTAGACATCCCCCCAAAGCCCCATGTGGTCATAGGATTGACCTAGAGAATGTGAAGCTGGAATTGGTTCATGATGCAATGCTAGGCTCAAGGGCATTAGGATTGAGGGTGTGAGGGCTACCGGCCCTAAGTAGTCTGAATAAGATAAAAGGGGCAGAGAGACACTGTTAACTCTTCTGTTACCACTGCTCCCTTGTGTGTGCCATGTTGTTAATGCTCTCCCATGCCTGTTTGTTGTCCCTGCCTTGGAGTTGGCTGATTATGGACTGAAACCTCTACAAACTGTAAGCCAAATAAACCCCTTCCCTTTTTAAAAAAAAATTTAGCTACACTAAGAAAAATGAATACCAAAAATAAAAGACTGTCAAACCCAATAAAGACCTGGAAATTGTGAATAGCTTTGTAACCAGAAAATACTTACAAATCTCCCCTTGCAGACTACATGTCTTCACCTAGTGAATTCTGTCCACATTTAAATAGCAGCCCTTTACAAATTCTTTCAGAAAACAGAGGCAGAGAAACACTCTTCAACCAGCATTATGGTAATTCACCTAGGAAAGACCAAGATCTGAAAGAAACCACACGTGAAAGCCCCTAATACAACATTAGCCAGTGAAATCCAGCAATCAACACCACAACGACCTGGCATTTGTGTGGCCACATGTCTAAGCAGCAACATCTCCCTCTGCTCTGCCACCACCCGAGGGCTGGATTTCAGCAGATTCCTGCATCGATGTGAAACACCTGAGCTCAAACACTGAAATCCAGTGCAAAGTTTTGGGCTCATCTAGATCCAGTCAGCAGTTAAGGTAACAAAGCTTTCCAATTTCTAAAAGTTGCACTTCCAGGTGGTCAGAGGAGATTGTATTTTGCCATCCACACCACCGCTACGGGTTAGCCTGGTTCTGGGAGGGAAAATGTACTGGGTTAACCTCAAAATATAGTCCATAAAATATGGTCCAAAACTGTCTGCAGAATCACTGGAATACCCCTAAAATTTTCATCCCTCTCAATGACACTGTGAAAGAATTTACCAGAAACAATGGCATGTAGATAATCATTCATTTCTGCGATATGTCCTTCAGTTCAGAATTATAAGCTTCAACCCACAACATCAGTAAATTAGCCAATTGTGCTCTGTAAACGGAAAAAAAATAATAGTCACATTTGTTACTACATAAAAAAACTTGTTTTAATTTCTGAAAGGTATTTCAGATGAAAGAAAAATGTGAAGTCACAGAAGAGACAAAATCTCCGGATGAGACAGATGATTTGAAGTAATTCAAATATCAACTGAAAAAGTTCAGACTAATATTTTAAATAATGAAACCAGGACACAGCTGTACAATTTGTAACAAAACCCCTGTATGGGGGGCAGGTAGAGACAGGGTCTCGCTACGTACATAGTTCAGGCTGGCCTTGAACTCACTATATAATCCAGGCTGGTCTCACACTCATAGCCATCCTCCTGCCTCAGCCTCTTGAGTGTTGGGATTGCAGAGATGTGCCACCAAGCCCAGCCTACAAAACCTCTTTTGAAAACAAGGGTTGAAATTTTAAGTAGATATTTTCAGGAAAAGTATGCCTATTTTAAGTCTATAGCCTCATAAATATAGCTAATTTTAAAAATCAGATTTGGCTGGTCATACATGCAAGTAAAGTATATACTGTATTTCTTCTGGATGAATTTCAAATGTGATGTCAATATAACATTTCTATATCATGAAGTGCTGGAGCCGGGGGTTTAGCTCAGTGGTTCCATCGCCTGTCTCGCAAGCGCAAGATCCCGAGTTCGAGCCCCAGTACCAAAAAATAAAAAAAAATTGTTATATCATGAAGTGCAAATAATTCATGACAAGTCTACAGATTACATGCAATTTTATTTAAATAAACAGCAGTGTGAGCCAATTTTGAAGTATAAAAATAGATGATTTAACAGCCAAATACAAGCACCACACAAAAGCAGATTACACATACACAGTCCGGCCTGTGGAAGACTAGGGCAATATAAATATCTCAAGTAGTTTGATGAGAATACTTTACTCGTAAGAAAAGACGTTATGAAAACATCTGAGTAGGCAGGGCCCACAATTTTTTCAGTATGAAGTCTTCTCTTTCAATTTTCTTGCTGATATATTGGTGACTCTAAATCCAGCACAATTAGCCCAGGTTGATGAATGGGCTGTCAAAGCCGCTGTCCTGTTGGCAGGACAGGTGAGCAGGTACCTGCCGGGAGGGCTGCTGGCCTGGCAGAGCAGGCGGGGTACTGCTCAGAGTTCTGAGGTCCGACTTCGACAGAGCAGCCCCAGGGTGCGGCGCGTGACCACGAGCCCCACGCGCTGTCCCCTGCTGGGAACACGCGGCTGCTGACGGGTCTGGGGCTCCGTCTCGCCGATGTGTGCCCGGCTGACCATCGCCCTCTGTCTCTGAAAGGAAACTGGCTGCCGAGAAGGGTTTGAACTTCACATAGTCCCCCAGTACATCCAGAGCTCCCTGCGGCCTATCGTACAGGAATGACAACTCGAGACTATGACAGGGTAAGGTGGTGCTGTTTGACAGCCAGCTGAACGAGCCGCTGAGGTCCCCCAGGTCCTTCACCGGAGTTTCCTGAACACCCACACCTGGACCCGGCGGTGTGCGCACCCTGGAGCCTGGTCTTTCGTGAGACTCTGGAAAGGTCGCAAGTGTGGACCCGGATTCGGCAAGCTGAGGACTGCATCTAGGGGAGGGTTTATCTCCACTGACTCCGAGCACAGGGTGTTCGGCTGCGTGCATAAACGCGGCAGGGCCTGTGTCGCTGACGAGCTCTCTCTTCCGGGCTAAAGCCGAGCCCCCTTCACCCCTGCACAGCGCGAACTCAGGAGAAATGCTCTTCTGAGAACTGTCCTCATGCTTGCAACGGCTGTCCCCAAAATGGAGGTCCGGAAGTGGCCCCTGGGAGCCCACACGCTTCCTGTCTCTGTGCTCCGAGGCCTCCAACCGCCTTTGCAAGTTACAAGTAGCCCCCTTCTTAGGGCCCTGTTCACATTCGCTTCTGAGGACAGAGGCTACGCTCTTTGGTTTACTTTCAAGGTAGCACGGGGTACTCTGGTTCGCATCGTTTCTTTTTGATTTTCCAACTTCAGCTAGCATCTCTGAAGCCAGGAAAACAAAATCAGAGGGATACACATTAGGAGAAAATGAACGTTTAAACAGAGTAAATGTACGGTTCTATGTCTTCTCAAAGAAAGCGTGTGTATTTTAATCCTTCTCAAAGAAACTGCATCAGTGCTAGACCTGTAAAGATATTCTTTTATACGTATCAACTAAATAAAGCTTGGTGATTTTGCTGCTGAGATCTGATACATTATCACTGCAATCCACCCCATCCATCACTTCCTGCAGTCGATGTTACAGTATTTCAAGACGCAGCTGCAATCTTTTCAGTTTTTGCTGGTTCTGATGTCAAGGACGAGTCTGTGACAAAGAAAGTTCGCCAGGAGAAACCCAACAAGCCAACACACACACACGCACACACGCACTCACAGCCCTCTGTAAAAGCTACACAGGTTCTGATTTATGTGGCTAAGATACTGAGTCAGATTAGACACAAAAAGCCACACAGCATAAAGTCTGAGACAGCAAATCTCCAAACAGTGTGTCCTGGAGGGAAAGGGTCAGTTCTCTTGAGGACATTATTTGCATTGCTGCTCCAGATTTACAAAATTATTTAGGAATAAAAATAAAATGATATGAAGAAAACTATATGAGGAATGTTTCATGGATTCCTGAATAATCTCTGCTTCCAGTTTTCCAGAAGTTCAAAAAGTCCATTTCCTGACAGACACATTACAAATCTCCCAGTGTGATGGGATGCACCATGTTTTTTCATTTTTCATGTATTTCTATCAGCCCATACTTTATAAACTATGTTCTAAACAGGAAGAAATTGTGTTCCATTATTAACATGAATGGTAAGTTTTAATCTGTCCATTTTAATGCTAGCTCTAACTTACCTTAATATTGCACTTATCTTTATAATTTATCTAATATCAACATCACATTTGCTTGGCATATCACTCACATTCCTTTTATTTTGCATTTTAGAAATTCTTCTAAAAAAAATACCCATATTTTGTAAACCCCTATTTGAAAGCTGTGGCTCCATTTTGGGGGGGGGGAGCTAGTGGGGATTGAACCCAGGGCCTTTGCAATGAGCTACAGTCCCAGCCCTTTTTAAAATGTTATTTTGAGATAGGTTTGCACTAAGTCTCTAAGTTTCCCAGGCTGGGCTTGAACCTGTGATCTACCTGCCTCAGCCGCCCACAGTGCTGGGATTATAGTCATGCATCACCTCACCTGGCAAGCTGTGGGCTTTTAATAAGTTTAACCTATTCACAATTAGTTTAATTGATGATGTTATTATCTTCCATTTACCCATGTTTTTCTCCTCTTTCCTGATTTTTGTTAGATTGAAATTTTTCTTCCAAAGTTTTCCTCTACTAATTTGAAAGGTATATACTCCATTTCTATTTCTTTGTTGGTTATCCTTAAATTTCAACCTATATACATAAGTCTGTATTTTGCTAGGAATGGCTAATGTTATCAATATCTATATCATTCCTTAAAAATAGTAAGTCAGCATATTTTTAGTTTCTGCGGTGACATCCTCTGTCATTTCTCTAAGAATACTATACTTTCTAATACTCTCAGGCCTGTTTGTCCTATTAATGCTATTGCCTTAGGTATAAATTTCATTGGTTTTGTTTTGTGGTTAGTTTGGTCTTTTTTCCATGGTGGAGGCTTTCTGCAAATTCATGGGGATTCTTGGTCACACGCTTATCCTTTAGCTGTCTTGAATAACGTGTCTGTTTGCTCTGCTTATGGAAAAGCATCCTGGGACAGAAGGGGGCATAAGCTGCCGGGTGGGAAGCTCTCATGGCTGGTGCCCTGGGGCATGTTGGTGCTCAGTTCCTCCTGGGCGTGGCTGGGTCCTGGAATCCTGCCTGCTCCTCCCTTCTGTGCTTCTCCCGCTGCCTGGCGGGAACAGAAGGTAGGGGATGAGAGACAGAGAGGGAGGGACTCCACCTGGCTTCTGCAGCTCTCCAACACTAGCCCCAGGTGTCCTGAGCCTGGAGCTCAGTGGCTCACAGTGGCCCCGCTCTGACATTATATGTCTGTGTGGCTGTTACTGTCTGGCAACTGACCTCAAGTTTCCCATCTGCAATCAGACGCCATCTTCTTCCTCCCAGAATTTCTCACAGCTTCTGGTCTGTTCAATACAACCTTTTTCTCCGTTTTATTTTCCTTTATTTTTTAATTAATTTCATTGGTACATTTTAGGTATACAATATAATGACATTTATCATTAAAATTTGTACCTTTACATGACATATGAAGCTTTTTAATTAGAAGAGATACCACTTATTGGTTGTGCTAGTTCACGGGCAACTGAGGTTTTGTTCACAAAGTCTTTTCCTACACCAATGTCTTCAGGAGTTTTACCTAACCTCTCTTCCAGCCGGTTTAGTGTTTCTGTTTTAATATTTAGATCTTTAATCCATTTCAATTTTAGTTTAGTGCATGGTGAGAGATACAGGTCTAGTTTCGATCTTTGGCAAGTTAAAACCCAATTTTTCCAGCACCATTTATTAAAGAGGCTATCTTTACTCCAGTGAGGGTGTTTGGCTCCTTTGTCGAAGATGAGGTGGCTGAGTGTGTTTGGAGTTGTTTCTGGATCTTCTAATCTGTTCCACTGGCTCTCAGGTCTGTTTGTTTGCCAGTACCATGTTGTTTTTATCACAGTAACTTTGTAGTATAGTTTCAAGTTGGGGATTGTGATACCCCTTACCTTGTCTTTGTTGCCTAGAATTGCTTTTTCTAGGTCTCTTGTTCCAAATGAATTTTTGGATTGTTTTCTCAAGGCCTGTGAAGTATGCTGTTGGAATTTCAATTGGGAATTACTATTGAATCTATATAGCAGTTTTGGAAGTATGGCCATTTTCACTATATTGGTTATTCCTACTCAGGAGAAAGGAATATCTTTCCATTTTCTGATATCCTCTTCAATCTCTTTTTTCGGAGTGCTATAATTTTCAGAGTAGAGATCTTTGATTTCTTTCATTAGGTTGATGCCTAGGTATTTCATTTTTTTGGATGCTATTATGAAGGGAGTTCTTTCTCCAGTTCCTCTTTTAGTGAGTCTGCTGTTCGTGTACAGGAAAGCTATTGATTTTTGTGTGTTGACTTTGTATCCAGCTACTTTACTAAATTTGGTTATTAAGTCTAGGAGACTTTTGGTGGAATTCTTGGGGTCTTCTAAATAGTTTCATGTCGTCTGCAAATAATGACAATTTGACTTCTTCATTTCCTATCTTTATTCCTTTTATTTCTTTCTCTTGTCTAATTGCCGTGGCTAATGTTTCCAAAACTATATTGAACAAGAGTGGTGATAGTGGACATCCTTGTCTTGTTCCTGATTTTAGTGTGAAGGATTTTAGTTTTTGACCATTTAGTATGATACTGGCTGTTGGTTTTTCATAGATGGCTTTTATCAGGTTGAGGGAGACCATCTATTCCAATTTTCTGTAGGGTTTTTATCATGAATTCATGTTGTATTTTGTCAAATGCTTTTTCTGCATCTATTGAGACAATATGGTTTTTGTCCTTAGCTTTATTAATATAGGGTATTACATTTATTGATTTGCATATGTTGAACCATCCCTGCACCCCTGGGATGAATTCCACTTGGTCAGGGTGTATGATCTTCTTGATGATCTTCTGCATTCTATTTGCCAGTATCTTACTGATGATTGTTGCATCTATGTTCATTAGTGAGATTGGCCTATAGTTCTCTTTTCCAGTTGGGTTTTTCTCTGCTTTTGGGGATCAAGGTGATGCGTGCTTCCAGGAATGAATTTGAGAGTATTGCTTCCCTTTCAATTTCATTGAAGAGTTTAAACAGTAGTAGCAGTAGTTCCTCTCTAAATGTCTTGTAGAATTCAGCAGTGAAGCCGTCAGGACCCAGGCCTTTCTTAGTTGGTAAGTTTTTAGTTATGTTTTCAATTTCATTGGTTGATATTGGGTTGTTTAGAATTTTTAGATCTTTCTCGTTCAACTTTAGCAATTCATACATATCTAGTAACCTGTCCATTTCTTGTGTTTTCCATCTTATTGGAATACAGATTCTCGAAGTAGGTACTAATGATCCTCTGGATTTCTGCTGGGTCCATTGTAATTTCATCCTTATCATTCCTAATTGTATGGACTTGAGCCTTTTCTTTTCTTTTTTTGATAAGGTTGGCTAAGAGTTTATCAATTTTGTTTATTCTTTCGAAGAACCAATTCTTTCCTTCACTGATTTTTTGTATCATTCTCTGAGTCTCCAATGCATTGATTTCTGCTCTGATCTTTATAATTTCCTCCCTTGTATGAGCTTTGGGTTTGCCTTGCTCTTCTTTTTCTAGAAGCTTGAGGTTCAGCATCAGGCTGTGTAATTGAGCTCGCCGTTTTCCTAATGTGAGTATTCACTGCTGTGAATTTCCCTTGTAAGACTGCTTTCATTGTGTCCCACAGATTCCAATATGTTGTACTGCCGTTGTTACTTAATTGTAGAAAATGTCTGATCTTCTTTAATTTCCTCTGTGATCCACTGGTTATTCAGAGGTGTGCTGTTCAATTTCCATGGGTTTATGAAATTCTTGTAGTTTCTTTTGCTACTGATCTCCAATTTCATCACACTATGGTCTGATAATACACAGGGGATAACTTCAATTCCTTTGCACTTAAACATGTTCTACGAGCTAGTATGTGGTCTATTTTGGAGAACAATCCATGTGCAGCCACAAGGAATGTGTATTCTGACTTTGTGGGATAGAACACTCTGTAAACATTTGTTAAGTCCATTTGTTCAAGATTTTGATTGAGTCCTAGTATTTTTTTATTTTTTTTGTCTAGTTGATCTATCTATTTGTGACAGTGGGGTACTGAGGTCTCCCACTAATATTGTATTAGTGTTTATTTAATTTTTCATGTCCATTAGTATTTGTTTTATATAGTTGGATGCACTAGTATTTGTTGAATATATATTGATTGTTATCTCTTCCTCTTGGATTTTTCCCTTTGCAAAGATGTAGTGTCCTTCTTTGTCTCTCTTAATTAGTGTTGGTTTGAAATCCATTTGATCTGCAAAGAGGATAGCTACTCCTGCTTTTATTCAGGTTCCTGTCACATGGAGTACTGTTTTCCACCCTTTAACTTTCAGTTTATGAGTTTCTTTTTGAATTAAGTGTGCTTCTTGTAAGCAGTATATTGTTGGATCTTGTTTCTTGACCCATTCTGCCAGTCTATTTCTTTTGATTGGTGAATTAAGACCATTCACATTGATGGTTATAAGTGATATGTACTGACTTATTCTTGTCATTACTTTTTTATTGTTGTTGAATCTTCTCCCTTTGCATTTAATTTTTTGTCATGCCTAATGGATTCATTCTGCTGGACTTCCTGGGGTTGTGATCCTCATTGTCTTTTCTCTAGGATATTGTGTAAAATGTTTTGGAGTGAGGGTTTGGTATTCATGAGGTTCCTCAGGTGCTCTGTGTCATAAAGCATCTTATTTCTCCATCAATTTTGAAAGATAGTTTTGCAGGTCACATCAATCTGGGTTGGAGGCTGCTTTCTTTTAGGGCTTGAAACACTTCATTCCAGGCTCTTGTCTTGAGAGTTTGTGTTGAGAAGCCTGCTGTGATTCTGACAGGCATTCCTTTGTATGTGATTTGTTTCTTTTCTCTGTTTGTAGAATTTTGTTCTTCTGTTGGGTTTCTGGGATCTTAACTATTATATACCTAGGTATAGTCTTTTTTGAACAAGGCTAGTTGGAGTCCTATATGCCTCACTTATCTGTATGTCAAGTACTTTTCTCCTGCTTGGGAAAATTTTTGCCATTACTTCTGTGAACAGTTTTTTTATGTCATTTGCACTCTCTCCTGTTTCTTCATTGACTCCAATCAGTGTTATGTTATTCTTCTTTGCATCGTCTGCTGGATTGATTTCTCATGATCCCTTATTATTTTAAAGAAACATTTCTTTTCCTGGTCACTAATTGCAATCCTGTCTTCTATACATGATATTCTGTCCTCACATTGGCTTATTCTGCTGAATAAACTATCAGTGGTGTTTTTAATCTCCTGGATATCTGTCTGTTTTATGGATTCCATTTGTTTCCTATGCTGGGATTCCATCATGTTCCTCAACTCCTCTATTTTTTATCTGTGTCTGCTCTAGATTTATCAATCATGTCTTGCACTATGGGCACAATCTCTGCTGTTATCTGAGAAATTATTTCTGATTTCACTTTTTCCAGGTCCTCTCTTTTGTTGCCAGTTCAGGGAGTCCAGATGGTTGAATATCAGAGTGTACCATCTTGTTGCCCTTTGGGGTTGCCTTAGGTGATCTGGCAGTCTGGTTCCGAGACTTGTTTATGTGTCTTCTCATTTCAACAGATGCAGCCTCCTGTGCCTTTGTTGAGGAGACTTTTTGTTCACCAGTGGTCTTCAATTCTGTACAAGCCACCAAGAGGCCTTTTCTCTGCTGCTCACCATTGTCCTGTTGTCCAGGCTGGGTTCTGGCTGGGGCCTGGCCCCCTGCATAGCTGTTTTCTGGGACAGCCTTTGGTTGAGGGCTGTGCACCTTAGTCACTGATGTCTGGGACGGCTTCTGGCTAGGATCTGTACTCACGGATGAAATCTGGGGAGGCCTCTGGCTGTTGCTTGTGCACCTGTGCAGCTCCTTTCCAGGGAGCCTTTGGCTGGGGCCTGTGGGCCCAAGCCGCTGGGACCTGTGCGCACCTGCCAAGCTCTGGTCCACGTGGGCTTCTGGCTGGGGTCCGCACACACTTACCAATGGAATCTGGGCGGGCCTCTGGCTGTTGCTTGTGCACCCGCGCAGCTCTGGTTCATGCGGGTTTCTTGCTGAGATCACTCCTTCTTTTTAAATATATATTTTTATTAGTGCCTTTTAATTTTACAAATATTGAATTTCAATGTGGTATTCTCACAGGTGCATCTAACATATTTTGATTATGACCTCTTAAAACCCAGTTATAATTTCATATTTTTCTCATTCTTTACTTGTTTCTTAAAATGTTTTCTATCATGGCTAGGGACAGAAGCAACAATGGGAAGGTGGTGGGAATGCTCATTCTACCTGTTCAGCTGGAAACTCTCCACTCCTCTGTGTAAATTTCCCATTCAAGTAAAACCCACACACAACTTCATAAATTAACTCCCATTCCTTACACTTCTGCTCTTTTTCATAATAAAAACATTAACTATCCACCAAACAAGAGATAAGAAGCCACCCAGTGACTCATGCAGACGCACCTGGTTGTGCTGTTGCTGCTTTGCTCGGGGGTCTGTGAGAAGTTGGGGTTTCCAGCAGCTTCGCCATCATAGCAAGTTTGCTAGCAGTGTTCATAATCTTCTTCTCAGCCCTGTGGAGAATTCCAGAATATAAAATTAAAATAGCTTAAATGAAAAAATGAGTTTTCTGAGCCCTAGGATTTATGTTCCTGTTAGCTCTGCCAATAGTTAGGGTAGCACAACCATAAGCCTATCATAATCCCCAGTGGTGGGTCATAGTGAAGCAATTAATTCTGAGGCTGAGGAAAATGCTTAGAAAGTGACATGCTGCCCTGGAGCTCTGGGACAACTGTCTGTTCAGACCAAACTCACCCTTCTGCTTTTCCACTGTCCTGCAAAATCTGCTGGAGGCAAATCAAGTAATATTTACGCATTTTTCTGGCGGTTTCTTGACGCTCTCGCAACACCTCTTCCTGTACCATTGCTGCAGCCCTCTGCTTGCTCTCCTGGATATAGCGGAGCATGTCACCTGTGGGGCAGGGAAAGCCCACAGAAGGCAAGTGCATTAGCACTGTTTCAGGGGCAGAGGGACAGACCACAGACCGTTCTTCTGGTAAAGGAAGTGACTAGAGGCAGAGTTTAAACATCATGAAACACTTGGGCCATTTCAGATCACCATCTTGGTAGAATTAAAGAGAAGCAATCCATTGGTCCTGCTGGGCTGATGAAAGCCACACATGGGAAGGAAGCATGTTGGACTTTGTCATATTCCGAAACACTTTAAAGAGGAAATAAATATGTGGCACTGAAATAAACAACTGTACATGATCCCCAGTTAAAAGAAGGCAAATACATAGGGTGTACAGAAAAGGAAGAGAAAGCAGATACTGGAAAACAAAAGAAGAAAAGTAGTATGAGCTGGACTCCTATTCTTCTCTTATGCCCTGAAAGTCCATGTTCTTCTATTAATTGAATGCATTCTTGAGTATCTAACTAAATATAGTATCACATGAGAGATATGTATAAAATGCTACTGCCAGAAAGATGCTGACATTTTCTTCTGAACTTTATACAAAATCATAACTCACAGCTTTTAAATTATTTTACTTTTAACTCAACAAAGTTTTGACTGGGACTACAATTAGTTAAGGCAAACTGCTTTTACTAAATCCAGGACCATGCCTTACATCTAAAATGTCACCATTCATATTATATAAGTGATGCTGATTCATATAGGAATGGCTCTATTAATGTCAGCAAGCTGTGAAAATTAGATGTTCTACTGAAAAATACTAAAGAGGAGTGGGGTTTCTTTTTCATTATTTGAGTTGGGAAAATTAAAATGATGTACATCTCAACTCAAAACCACCAGTCATCTTCCCAAAATATAAATACAACAACATCACACACATACACACACAAAAAAGTTATGTTAGGATGAAAATGTTTAAAAATTCACTTCTTAATTAGTAGATTATTAACCCAAAACTGCTTTACTTGTACATAACATATGCCCTTTGTTAGCACCAGCAAGAACTGAGAAGCAAATCCTCTTTACTGGCACTGAAAGAGCCTTTCAAAGCATTTACATGATCCTGGTATCTACTGTTATTTGGAATTTGAGAACTGTCCCTGTTCTTTAAAAAGTGAATACAATTTTAGGAGGCAAACATACATTTTTCCTATATAAACACCGGTTACTATGTTGTGACATACATATATTTTGAGCAATGTGATAATGAAAAAGGAGGAAGTATTCCATATTGAGAAAATATACACAAGAGGAATGTTTTTCAGAGTGGCTGGTACCACCTGATACCGACTGACAAAGTCTTGGCAAACAAATTTACAGCTATTTGAAATAAAATGAGAAATAACAGATCAACTGCCAGCTACATTCATTGGCAGAGTCCCCAAAAAGTTTATGGTAGAAAGTAATAACTGCTAATTTAAAACTCACTTGCCATTTTCCTCACTGCAACTTAGGTTGTAAGGTTATTAAATTTTTAATTTATACAAATGTTTAAACGACAAAAATGGGATAATCAACTACATAACAGTAACTCCACTCTCATGCCTTTTCCAAAACATAGTATTTGGGAAAAAATGATCCATTACTGCAAAATTTTAAAACTGTATTAATGATATTAAAGGTAGTTTTTGGAAACTTCCCAGTTTACATTTCATAGCAATAAAATGGTCCAAGCCCTCCCTAAAATTCTGGGAATGTCTTTAGGGACTTACGCTTGATTTTCTTCACAGCTTTAATGTACTGCCCACGAAGCTCTTCCAAAGCCTGCTCATTACCAGGCCGATAAGCAATTTCCAGGGCCCCTTCAGACTGTGACCTAGAGACGAACCGAAGATGGCAGAGACAGAGGCCATAAGTGACAAGCTTCATTTGGAAAACACACATGCGTTCATACCTTCTCATACAAGCAGCTGAGATGTGCTAAAAATTTCCTAGTCCAGGATCTCATTATACATAAGAGGAAAGTGGAAATCACTTAAAAGTTAGGGTTGCTTAAATAATGGTAGCCAGGCTTGGTGGTGTAAACCTGTAATCCCAGCACTCTGGGAGGCTAGTGAAGGAGGACTGTAAGTTTGAGCCCAGCACAGGCAGCTTAGGGACTTAGTGAGGCTCTGTCTCAAAATAAAAAATAAAAAGCAGAAGATGTTGCTCAGTGCAAAGGCCCTGGGTTCAATTCATAGTATCACAAAAAAGGAAGGTGAAGGGTGAAGAAAAGGTATATTCACATGATAAAAATGTATAAAGCTGCTGAAAAGTATACTGTAGGAAAACATCAAATAACTTGGGAAAAGGCTTTGCTTCATCATATTAAATTAATGAAGGGTTATAATAATCTCAGTTTTTAAAACATGCTGTGTTCATGGTATGTGTAAATGAAGAGGCTTAAATGATATAAAACAAAGGCTTAACATGGAATATCTCTGGGGACAGGGTTTGGGAGATTTTCTTCTTTTTTATACTTTTTGCTATATAAAAAAATAGGGTCTCAAAAGAATATAATGATACAGGGGCCAGGGATTTAGCTCAGTGGTTTTGCTGCCTGCTGTGCAAGCACAAGGACCGAGTTCAATCCCTGGTACCAAAAAAAAAAAAGAAAACAATACTTAGAAATAAGATGATTTTAAAATAGTAAATGTCTACCTTGGTGGTATTTTACAGAGTGTTTGCAGTTCTTTCAATTTATTCTTCATGTTGTTGTTTTCTTCTATTAATTCTTCAACAACTTTAGTATTCTCTTCTATGAAAGAAAGTTCATAGTACATTAATTCCTCCCACATCTTCCCTTCCTCTGCATCCCCAACACACACATCTGCAGAAGGGATTGTCTAATCTCCAGCTGCTGTCCTGTCATCTGTCCCCAGTGAGCCCCAGTCTGACCATTCCCTGATCTGTTTCCTCAGCACTGAAACCTGCCCCCGCTTCCCTTGCTTTGGGTCACACACTGTCCTGGACGTGGTTCCCACCCATGGCTGAGGCCTGGGTGTTGTTCCCAGCCACACCAAAGCTCTGTGCAGGCCTCTGAGCTGCTTCCCACGTTACCACGCATCCCAGGATGCAGTCGGTACTTGCCTAAAGTCACTGAACAAGCACATCACTGTAAAATGAAAAGAACTGACTGCATGCCATTCCAGAAACAATGTAAGGCTTCCAATTCTGTGAACTTTTAAAAAGATGAGGAGACTAATAAGAGTCAATATGGCATTAAAAAAAAGAGCCTGAATTTTGCTGTCAGAGACATGTTTAACTACGAGCCCAGCTTCTTAGGAGCTGGATGAGCCTAGGCCAACGCCCTAGGCTTTCTGATCCTGAGGTTTTATCCCATGTGTTACGTGCCTTAGCAATCACGATAGCACTAAGGGAATAAGCGCACACCACTCCTGAAAGGCCTGGCCACCCATGCTCACACGGCCCTCACAGTGCCTGTGCTGCGCCCTCCACACACGTGAGCTGGGAACCGGGCACCCTGTCCCCTGGTGACAGATGAGACACCCATCCTGAACCACTCAAACCCACATTTCAGTAAATCTCACAGGAGAGTGGAAAATGGGACTTAATACACAAGAGAGAAGCAATCATAATCACAGATATTATCACCTAACAGATTTATATTAAGACAAAAATGCAAATAAAATTACTCAGTGACTTAAAGTGTGGCCCGGACCCTTTTTATTGGCCCATGTTTTGAGGGGAGCAATGACCTCCTTGGATTATTTATAAGTCTGAACTGCAGAAGCTGTCAGCTTCAAAGATCACTACAGAAAATAATCATCACCATGTGCAAGGCTAAATGGAAGCTATTTATAAATAATAACCATATCCAACTGTTACTGCCATTCAATTTTTTGTCAAATTTTACAAGAGCTGTATGTTATCTATATCTCTAGTTAGACAAAGATCTCATTTACTCCTCTGGCCTCTATGAGGAACCAAGGGACCATAGAGAGAAGCAGGGCTATGAAGCTTTTTATCTCAGCCCTGTTAAAATGCAATCTGGGCCAGAATCTGCTCTCTCCCCACAAGGTGGCAGCAGGTGGTGGTGACTTCTTGGCCAGTGACACAGAGGGTGTGCGTGATGCTGGCCCCTGGGCACCATGCCCAGCATGGGACAGACCTGCCTCTTATCGCCATACAGTCAGCCTGGCCCCAGCAGGGAGGACAGGCAGTAAACAACCACAAAGACGGGTTGTGGGAGAGCACACGGGGGCTATGGGATCAGCAGTCTTGGTCGAGACAGGACAGAGACTCAGGAAAGACAGAGTGAGTGTGCTGGGGCCAAATGATGAAAACCACGTCATGGCTCAGTGGAGAGAGGAAAAGGACTTGAGGAGCCAGGCGTGGTGGTGGTGGTGGTGGGTGGCGCACCCCTGTAATCCCAGCACCAAGGGAGGCCGAGGCAGGAGGATCGCCAAATTTGAGGTCCACCTGGACAACTGAGTGAGACTCAGTCAAAATAAAAAGTAAAAAGGGTGGAGATGTAGCTCAGTGGTAGAGCATTATAGATAATGTGAAATTTAAGAGTGTGCAGTTTGTGCCGAGGGCCACACCAAGCCACCGAAGAGCTTTTAACAAGGAAGACACATGAGCCAACTCGCCTTTCAAAAGGCCGCTCTAGCTGCTCTGTGGAGAATGACTGGAGAGGCGAGCAGACAGCAGGCAGGGAGACTGGGGGCAACTGCCACGGTCCCGGCAAGATGGGAAAAGGGCGAGTGCAGAAAACAAACGAACCTATTCAATGCTTGGTCTTCCTGGACAACACAGTTCTTTGAGACCCTGGTATTCCATGTGTTGTTCATTCACAGATTTATTGTCTGCTACTAGTGGGCTCCGTGCCCACAGGGGTGAACGTGACAAGACATCAGCAGGAAGAGTCTGCCAGGGCAGCGGGCAGCCAAAGGGTGAAGGGGCATCCACTGAGGGGCCTCAGGGAGGACAGCCTGGCCGGAGTACAGCACTGGGCAAGGTTCAGGACAGAGAGCGCCATCCGCAAGCTGACAGGGAGAGAAAGGACGGCCAGTGCAGGAACTGAGACACTCCAAATGCAGGGCACGGAGCCAGGGCGGGCCCGCAGGGAAGAGGCCTGGGAAGTGGCGGAAGACGTCCCTTCCAGAAGGACAGCCTGGCAGCACTGCGACACCTGGGCTGGCCCCATCGGCCTCTGCGTATGCCTTTCCGCCAGCATGCAGCTCTCTGGAGGGCCCGGCAGACCCTCAGCGCTGAGAACACAGTGGGACACCTACCAGGCCCTCAGTCACTGTCCAGTCAGGATAGGAAGAAAGCAATGGGAAGCTTTCGTGGGAGGGAAACTACCCTCTTTTTTTTTTTTTTGGTACCAGGGATCAAACTCAGGACCTTGCGCTTTCAAGGCAGGAGGCGGAACCACTGAGCTAAATTCGCGGCCCTGTCCTCTTTTGAGTTTACTAATAATTCAGTTAGTAAAAATAAGATCCTAACTTGTTTACGTTAGTCCCCAAGGAGAATTAGGGTGCAAATTAACAGGAATAAAAGAGCCTTATACTGGTAACAAGCGCAACTTGAAGTGCTAACCTCCAATTTCTTCCACTACAGCGTTGTGCTTCCTTTCTAACTGCTGAAGATGCCTACAGCTTTTCTCCAGTTTTCTTTTCAGGTCTTGACATTCTTGCTTTGACTTTTCAAGTTCTTGCAAGCACTGTCCACAGCATAAATCTTTAATTTCAAGGGTCTCTTTCTTATCTGTGAAAATTAAATGACAGAACTTCATCAGTGTAGATTTAAGGAAAGAAAAAAAAAAGCAAAGAAAAGCAAAGAAAAGGAAGGAAGAAAGAAAGGAATAGGGAACAAGTTGAGATGACTCAAGACAAAAAGCTACAATGTAACTGAAAGAGAAGGATGCTTAAGGCTGTGACAGCTGGCTTTAAATCCTGTTCCACTACTGGCTGTGACTCAGAGCATATTACTTATCCTCTCTGAGGCTTGTTTTTTAACTATGTAAAATTGGATACTACCATCTACTTTAAAAATTGCCGTAAAACCCAATGCTCAGATGTTAATATTGAATGCTACTCCCCACTATAAGGAACCAAGGATTTTCAAGAAATGGCTGACTCCAATACTGGGAGAAGTTATGTACAAAATGAGACTGGAATATCTTGTTGTGCCAAAAAGAAAGAACATACTCAAAACACAGGCATGTCACAAGGCCCGTTCTCAAGGGGCTCCACTAGCTGAACCTGAGACCATCTGAGCACTCACTAATTAAACCAACTAATAAAGAATAAAGTTCTGGGTAAACAGGAATTTGCAAGTCATACCAACAATCCTGCCAATGGACTGATAAGTGAGCTGCTGGATGGATAGATGGGCACGCAGAGAGTTAAATAAATACAGGCAAATGACGGGAGGATTCTTCATAATAACCACATGCAGAGCGGTAAGAAGCAGACGGAGGTCTGGAGTTGGAAAATTTATCATTCTATAACCACCACAGCACAGACTGATTTGGTAAGAATCACCAATGATGGCCAAACCTAAGAGAAAGTTTTAGGAGAATACTTGCCTGGTCTTCAATGTGTCTCTCCACAGGTTGCTCATTAGTTGAAAGGGAGAGAAAAGGCCAAAATTGATGGAACAAAGAAATGAGACAATTTTTTGACCAGATGATTACAATTAACCTCACCAATTAAAGCCAAATGGAGAGCACACACTTCTGGATGTGAAAACACAGCCCCACGCTGTGTGCCAGCCGAGAAAGCACAGTCTGAATGCAGTCATGAAGAAACAGAGAACCCAAATCAAGAGTGGTCCAGACAACAAAGGGTGATGAAACCAAGTATTCCTCTCAAAAACTGCCATGAAAGACAGGTTGTGGGAAGGAAGATAAAGACACGTGACAAGAGAGTATAATTCCTGGTCCCAGACAGACAGAGCAGTAGAGGGGTAAATGCTATACAAGACATTACTGGGTCAGCTGACAACACTGGAATACAAACAGCACACTGATGCTTCTATCTAATGTCAAGTTTATAACACTAAGGTTATGCAAGGAAATATTCCTACTCTTGGAAAATCCAGTCTATGGTAGCTTGACATAAAAGGTCACAGTGCATATATCTTATCCTCAAATGGTGGAGAAAAAAAAATGAAATTAATATACATATACACACACTGAAGAGCACAAAATGAGGTAAACCGTTAACAAGAGATATATCTAAAGGGCACATCAGTGTTCTGTGCACTTATTTCTATTTTTCCTATTTTCCTGTAAGTTTGAAATTGTCTTCAACTTTTAAATAATCATTTTTTAAACTGTTATGAGACATAAATGTATAAAAATGGTTTCTCATTATACCAGCACACAGCAAGCACATGATAAATAACAGCTATGGCCATTAGTAATATTATAAAATTTAGAAAATTAAAAAAATATAAAAGGTAGATTATGACTATAAATGCAAGTGGTAAGCAGAAATACAAATTGGCACAGACTAAGAGACCAATATCCAAAATGTTAATATGAAGTCACTGATCCTGCAAAATTATTCTTAGCTGTCTCCTGGCTTTTTTAGTTTCATTAAAATGGTGCCATTTATATTTATGGGCATCAAAGGATCAATGAAAATCACACTGGTACCATATACTGATATTGTATTTCTTACTTAAGATACTGTTGTAAAATTGGAAACCAAGCAAGTGCCCACTGACAAAAGCACACATGACCATGGTGTACTTGTATAGTAGTGCTTTACACAGTACAGAAAATGAACAAGCTACAGATCAGCACGGACAAACCCTAGTAGCACGATGGTAAATAGGAGAAAAAAGCAACTTATGAAGAATATAATGAGTATTAAACCATTTTTATAATGTTTAGACAAAAAGGCAACTGTTTGAGGATATATACATATTTGATCAAAAGGTGAGAAAGCTGATTTTCTAAAAATCAGACTATGTGTTACCACAGGTTGCAGGATGTGGTGGGGACAGAACTGCAGACCAACAGCACTGGTCACGCTCCCCCGTGTAAGCTGGGTAGTGAATTCCTAGTCGTTAGGCCTCCTAACTTACTACGCATTACATATACTTTTTGCAAGAATCAAATATCTCACAGTTAAGTTGTTAAAAAGGAGAGAGAGAGAGAGAATATAACCGAGCCATCAATAGCAGTACTCCCTGGTGGTAAGACTGTACAGGACAATTTGGGGAGGGGCACTGGGGATTAAACCCAGGTCCGTCCACTGAGCTCCATCCTCAGTCCTTTTTTATTTCTTATTTTGAGACTAGTTCTCATTAAATAAGTTGCCCAGGTTGGGCTCAAACTTGCAATCCAACTGCCTTGGCCTCCCAGAGTGCTGGGATTATCGGCATGTGCCACCACCATGCCCAGCAGGGCTTTATCTTTTAATATATGCTTTGGATTCAATTCTTCCTCATGAATTTACTAATGTGTTTGTTTTAATGGAAAAAAGACTGAAAAATAAAAATAAATTCTTTTATACTTATGCTTCGTCTTCTGCCCAACTAATTTCTTTTATAGGACTAATTTCACTCACAGGACTTCCTGAGTTTAAAATGTGTTTCTATTTCATATATGAAAATATATATTCAGGCTTTTCTAAATCTCATATAAAATGTAAAGAAGCAAAATACAAATTAAGGTAGAATTACTATCCATGTAGTTAGCAATAAGATATTCCTGACTAACTAGAATCTGGAAGTAAGGGGAAAGGATCTGTGAGCAGTGAGGAAAACAACTGTCAACTGACCTCTGAGTGCAGGCAAGGCTGGTTGAGACGATCGTAACACGGCCACTAAGTTCGAAGTGTGTGGAAACTGAGGCTGACTCAGTAGGTATGATTTGCCCTGTCCATTGCTAGTTCTTTTCCAGGCGCCAATGGAACCAGCAAACAAGAAACAGAAAAGGAGTGTGAGTGTGTGTGTGTGTGTGTGTGTGTGTGCGTGTGCACGTGTGTGTATTTGTGTTCATAGGCAGGAGCAGGCTGCAAGGGGCCAATACCCTAAAAAGGACAGAGACACACAAAGGATTTGCCAACTCCTACCTCAGAAATCTTAGTGACTAGACAAGATCAGCCCCTAATTTTTGTTCACTAAGTTCACTCTGAATATAAGGCAAGGGAGTCCATATACGATCACACTTTTCCACAGTGACAAGTGTAAGCCATAAGGAAAAGTTAAAGTATTAATTCTTCAGAGGTTCAAGGAATACAAAGTACTTACCATTCACTCTACTACATGCTGGAAAAGGGATTAAAAACACTGCGCCTGGGGCTGGGGATCTAGCTTAGTGGCTCCGTGCCTGCCTCACAAGCGCACAGTCCTGAGTTCGATCCCCAGTACCAAAAAAACAAAACAAAACAAAACAAAAAACACTGCCCCTGTCCCAAAAACATAAACTCACTAATCAATTAGGAAACCTCTAACACACTTCAGCAAGAATTCCATTGACCCAGCATTGAAAGCTGGGTGTGGTGGCACACGCCTGTGATCCCAGCACTCTGGGAGGCTGAGGCAGGAGGAACACAAATTCTAGCCTAGTCTGGGCATCTTAGTGACTTAAGAGGGACCATTTCAAAAAATAAAAAGGGCTGGGGATGTAGCTCAGTGTGAAAACCCTAGATTCAATCCCCAGAACTGCAAAAACAAACAAACACAACAACGAGAAACAAAAAACAAGGATTAACTATCAAGAATTTGAATGAGAAAATCTCTACTACTGGGCAATTCTCTTATGTGAAACCCTTGATTTCTCAACAGCGAGGGAATAAAAATGTTGCTCCTCTATTAATACTCTCATTATTCTCCTCGTAGTAAGAATCACTTGTGCACGGAGAGAAAACCACATTAAGGTAGAAGTCAATCAGCCCTGTTGTCTAAACACAAAAAGGAATCTCGCCAGCGGACACACATTGAGTCGGAGTAATATTTCATGTCTGTTCACTCAGAAAACTTATTTTTGATTTCCTGTGTCCTCTCTGGGATGATGTCTATGGACACTATGAAGACCAAGGGAAACAAAACCCAATTACCAGCTTCTGCCACTGCTGCTGGCAAAGCCTCGGGCTGGGCGTGGGGTCCGGGAGGCGTCACTGGGACCCTGGGGTCTCCTCCGCCAGGGTCCTCGCTGGCAGGGCCAGTGGAGAGCTCAGCCGTATTCCTCTGGAAATAAATCACCTTTGTAGTTAGCGCCTCGTCAAAATCACTATGCACATTTCTACTCAGGAGATTAATATTAAAAATATATAAAGAACATAGGTTGAAAACAATTTCACCCGCACCAGCATGGATCCTGTCCTCAGGGTGTTAGTGATATAGTCACCCTGCAAGGGGCTGGCTCGGAAGGCCGCGTTCCCAATCAGAACACCATCTAAGGGAAGACAGGGGCTGCTGGGGCAGTTTGCACCTTTAAATAAATGAAGTTGAGACAGTTTGAATGGTTTATGTGATCAAACCACAGGACAAACAACAGGAAATCAAGATTATTCTTGACAATGCAAAACATTTTCATCGCATCAGGGGTCAAATTCATTAGCGATAATCCCAACTTTTGCCTCCTACAACGTGAAAATCACAAAGTAATTTTTAATTTATGTGATACTTACATGCTTCTAAGTACTTGTACATACATGTCTCTGGGAAGGAAAAGCCAGCTGAGTTCCAAGTTAAAGACAAACGAGGCATCTCACACCAGGCCATTTCTTCTCCCACGTGTGCCAAGTGCTTTTTGTGTGACGGGCAATACAACTTACTTAAGTTCACTGATTTTTAAGGTGATATTCCGATTTTGGACAACTACTAAATTGCAAAGGCACAGAGTACGTGATATTGACAAAGCAAACCCGTAACATGTGCTTGGTTCCAAAAGCCCTGGTTCTGATGCTGAGAAACCCACTCACAAAGGGTGAGGAAACCTCTCTCTGATGATTTGAGGAAGAGGTGTCAAGACTCCGGAAGAAAGGCCAACTGCACAGTCAAAAGGCTGGGAGATCGAGACCAAAGGAGTAATGAAAGCTCACCCCAAAAGCAGTTAATATTTCTGGTTTCCACTCAAAATGGGAGCAGAAAAGCAAAGATGATAAAAAAAAAAAAAGGGAAAGCAACAATCTTTTGTCCTTAGTTTTAACTTGGTTTTCACAGTTAGAGGAGACAGAATATATATCCTTAAGCTTGCCCCAAAATTCTGTCCCAGTTGATATTTCTGTTGTTCTTTTATCCATGGTGAACTGTTGTGTTAAAATATTTTGATAAGTGTTCAGTTTCTTAGAAACTATATTTTTCACTCATTGTATTTTCTCCATTTTAGAAAAATTTCAATCATTTCAGTTATTTTTAATGAAGACTTCTTTACATAGTTTTTATTCTTTTCACTTCCGTGAACAATTTAAATACTACAGAATAAATTATAAATCTGTTCCTCATATTATGCTATGTATACTGAAAACTCATAATCAGTGCATTACCTCGATGTTCTAAGCTAAGTTAGCTCAGAAATGGCAGAAGGTCAAATATTACTTCTTTGACAAACGCCAGATTAGACATTTTGGTCATCTTTTTTCTCAGGAATGGAATCTGACCCACCCAGGGAAAGCTGTAAAAGTCTATATTCTTAGCCAGATTACGTGATTCTGTCTCCATAGACTTGTAAGCCGTGTTAAGTCACACAGATTACCTTACACTGCTTACACAGCCCTGTAAAAAAGACCCTAGGGTTGACTGGATATAAAGTCCAGAACATTTTGAAAACCCAGAACATTTTCAGTGTGGCAGGGGTCAATATAAGTGGTAGGAGAACGGTGTTGATGCTGCTTGACTTTTAAAACAGAAACTGTCTTTGTAGGACAGCAAATTTGAAAGTATTAACATAATTTTCCCATTAACTCTCACCCTAAAACCTGCTATCGATAATTCTTCCTGTCTTTCCATCTATTTTCTCCAAAGACTCTCAATAAAATATTAAGCACTGCTCGTGGAACATGATCTTGCCAGTCACTTTTATATCAAAGGCAACTGATCTTCGGTAACATCTCTGGGATGTTACTGAATATAAATATAAAAGTACCCACTAGGATGAACTGATCTTTTAGGCTCCGCTTGCCATAAATTCTATGCTGTTTCACATGCAGGATCCAGAAAGCCCATGCTGTTTCAGGTATGTCCTAACCAACTCTAGGGAATTCGGCAGGGATTTGTATTTTCTTTTACAGATAGGCAACCTCATATATGTTTGCCCAAAGTAATAAGTTGTTATCACCAAGTATGGGAACTCAGGTTTCTTTCCTAGTTTCTAACTCTTTCCAGTAGATATTAATAACAAATGGTCAGTTCTGGCCTTGAAGATGATCTTCTGACAGGCCTTTAACCCTTATCTCAACTTTTTCTCTCAGACAAACCTCATAATATTGGCTTTTTTTTCTACCTCTAATTCCAAATGTTGAAACTGGCTGGTTACAAGACCTAGATCATCATTCTGGACCTTTCATGCATACCTAATTTCTTTACTCACACAGCAGCTAGACTTTGTTTTTTATCAGATCTTTCACACAAGTACTTACACAACTAAAACACTGCAGCACATTCATTCTACATGCACATTTACATTGCACCAATGAAGCTGGATGTGAGGGTTTTGTATGAGTGAAACATACCTCTCATTTGCTTGTTTCTGTACCAACAGTTTTTGTACTTGGTTGGCAATTTTTGCATAAATAAGCTATAACTTCACTGAGGGCAAAAACTAGGTTTCCAAACTCTTCAGAAGCTTTTAAGAAATCCTAGTTTAATATGATGCACATTTCTTGCAATGGTTGGACCCAGAAAACAAAAATACGAATGAGCATTACTCTCAGCTTCTGAAATCTCAGGCTCTTGTGAGAATAGCAATTTTTTCTTAGAACAAACAAACAAAAAACACGTCTAGAGGCTAAAAGCTCTGCCTCATATTTGTGGTACTATGAAGCAGTACAGTTTCTTTGGCAAGAAAATTTGCAATCCTTTGGATTTGCTACATTTTTTAAACCACTGGTAAAACACCAAGTCTTACAACTATTAAACCGTAAAATGAAGAAAGGAGAAAAACACCATATGCAACTTTGACAATCGTCCTGAAGGCATCCGATAGCTCTTTCCACTCGTGGGAACGTACCTTTTCCCATTCTGCCCTGGCATTTTCTGTACGTAAAGAAAGTGCATCTCGCAGTGCTTTCCGAATGCAGCCTTTCAGTTTCTCACAATACTGCACAGACACCCACTTCGAAGAACAAGCCGATGGGATTTCCAGAAGCTGCCTGTCCACAGAGCCACTGCCCTCCACCTTTTGAGTGTCCCTTAGTAGGAGCTCAAGGACAGTGAGGATGTCCTCCTCGTACTGCTGGATTTCCAGATGGATCCGCCTGGCTTCCTGCATCGTCCACTCCCTGTGGCTCTGGTCTAGACAGGCTTGTAATTCTGTCTCCTTCTGAAAAAGCAGTTCAGCCTTTTCTTTCAAAAAGTCTTCTTTAGCTGCTGCAAGCACCTCATTAATTTTATTTCGATGATCATCTAAAAATTGCCGGTAATCTTGCTCGTTTTGTTCTTGAATTCTGTGGATTTCTTCTTGCTTTTCTCTGTTCCACTCACTCCACGCCTTTGCCAGCTCAGCCCTGACGACCACAGGGAGCTCCTCGTTTTTCAGCTCCAGCTCCCTCTGCAGAGAACGGATCTCCTCTTTCAGTTCCTTCCCGGGGCTTACACTTTCCTTCGTATTTTCAAGCTCACCTTTCCATTTCTCTTTAGCTTCAGACACAGCAAACAACAGCTAAAGGACACAACAACACACATTTTAAATGTACTCAGGGTCCTCCTTGTTGGCAGCAAAATCAGACCAAGTAACTATTTGGATTACTTGTGAACATAATGAGAGACTGAAAGTCAAAATAAAAGAAAAAAGTAAGTTTAGATAAAATATTATTCTATAAAATATAGTACTTAGATATTACACTTACAGAACTTTTCCTTCATTTTAAATCATCTAATAGTTCTACTTATGGTATTTTAAAAAACATCAATTTCTTAATGGGGGACCAGAAGTTGAAACTGGCATATATATATATCTGATAAATATCCATGTTTCCGGATCTCCAAAACTAATTTCAGAGGGATCATTTTAGTATTTCAAATACAGATAGTCTCAAATTTTATCTAAGGTCCTCCACAAATTAAGTACCTCAAAGCAAAAGAAACCTCATAAGGAAACCTTAATGTTACTTAGGAATATAACAGATACCTAAATAACTTCTTGCTGATAAGTCATGCAATGTTAGTGGCTAGAACAGTCATTCAATGCCTATCAAAAAGAAAAGGTCATTTTTCATTCAGCTCATTTTTTAACATAATGACAAGTGCATAAAATAATAGTCCATAGTCAGACAGTATTAGGGTTATCAAAAGCCTGGGCTCTAGCTCCAATCCCAGCACAAGGGTTAAAGAGGGAGGGCGGACTCTGGGGCCAGCTGCTGGGCGGGAGCCAGGACCACTAAGGAACCGCAGGCCATTCACCAGCTTCCTACAGCCTCAGTGCCCTCGTCTGTGTAACTGAGGGTGATTCCGATACCCAATAAGCAACGCAGGAGCTCATGCAATTAAAGTACTCAACCCAGGGCAGGGGACTAAGACAGCCTCAGACGTTACACAGCCTTCATGGCTTCTGGATGCGTGGCCTTGGGAAAGTCACTTGGCACCTTTGGCTTTTCCTATCTTCACCCACATAATGAGCAGTCTGGATAATGACCTGCCTTGAGTCCCTTTTACTTCTAATGTTCCCTGGCTGCCTGCAAAGTCACAAGGACACACAGCATCAGAAGACGAAATTAAGGGCTGGGGATTTAACTCAGTAGCACTGTGCGCCCATTCCGCAAGCACCAGGTCCTGAGTTCAATCCCCGGTACAGAACTGGCATCTCCCCAGTCCTGACCTAGACAGTGGTGACCATGATTAACCAATGCCACACCAAGGCTCAGGATGAGCAGGTGGGATATCAGCTTACCAAATTTTCTACTAAGATGACCATGACCTAAAGTGAGCTTTACCGAGGAATTCACCACAAATTCTTTTGTCACCAGCACACTGATTCTGTAGTGACCTGAAACATGCTTAGTGTTTTTAGAGAAAACAGGTCACACTGTGATGGAGGCCTAGGAGTCCCTGCCAGGTGACCTTTGTAGGGGTGGTGGGTCCCATGGAATTTGGATCCTTACCAAAAGCCTGCATTCCTGGGAGAAGTTCTACAGAATACGACAGGACTTAATCAACTCAATGGTTCCAGGACATCACTACACATGAGAAACAACTGAAGAGCTCTACAACATACGGATGCCCAGCCTACACCCATACAACTCAATACATGGTCTGGGGTGACAACCAGGTACCTGGACGCTTCAAGGATCCTCAAGTGATTCCAATTAACTATAGCACCAACTTGACTCCTTCTGGACCCAAGAAACTGGCCTTTCCTTAAGTACTCTGAGGTACGATGGGGCAGACAAGACTGAGTCATTTACGACTTGGGTTATACAACAGAGTATTCTCCTAAATGACTGTGGCCCATGGTGGGGGTTTCACCCTCGACACTGCAATCTGCTGTATTCTGTGCGCCGAATTCAGGAGGAAAGATTTGTCCATTAGGCAAAAGAGGGCACTGTAAGTTTGTGTGAGCTCGTATTTCCCTGACACTAAGAGGCCTGAACGTGGTTCCATTCTTTTTTTTACTATTTAGACTTCTGAAGATGACCTGCTCATATGTTTAACTTATCCATGGACCGTTTTTCTTAAAAGTTCCTATAAGCTCTTTATCACATATTAACACTTCTTGTTTTATCATCTTACTTTTACCTTATTAAAAAATTAATATTTTAAGTGTTTTAAACCTATTATTTTATTTTTACCATTGTGTTCATTGACTCAAAAATGAGTCATCATAAATACCTGAAATATTTAATTTCCTTTTAATTTTTCTATATTTTCACTTATGAATGTTTAACTCTATAAACCTAGCACTTATGTGATGCACAGGATGGCAAACAGAACCTTTCTAAAGTGTCAGCTGGCTATCATGAGACTCTTGATTATGGAATAGTATAATTTCTTATTCTCTTGTTTTGAAACAATTCATTAAGTTTTTATTCATAGTTGGGCCTGTCTCTGATGTCCATATTGTATTGAATTAAAAACAATTCTGTGACTCAACACTGTCTGAATTGTTGTTTGCCAATATACTCTATGTTAAAGCTGGACTCCGACTCCTTTTCTAGAACACTAAAAAGATTCTAGACTTTTTATTTTTCCAAATAAATTTTAGAATTTTTGTGTCCAATTTTAAAACTATTTCAGTTTGTTGGCATTTTGGTTAGAATTGCTTTAGACCAATAAATTAAGTTGGAAGGCTACACATGATTATGACAGCGAAGTTTTCCTTTCAAGGAATATGACATCTCTGGAAAACAGAGTTGGCTGTTTACCAGAGAACGTATGGGAAGCCTATGGATAAAGCATAGAAAATCTTCACATATGAGAGCATACTGTCTAGCTATCAAGCACATAATCACCTGTTGTCAATCTCACCCAAAGATGGAATGCAAATTAATTTCTAAGTCAAGATTATCTTTCTCGGGCCGGGGATTTAGCTCAGTGGTTTCGCCACCTGCTGTGCAAGCACAAGGACCTGAGTTCGATCTCTAGTACCAAAAAAAAAAAAAATTATGATAAGATTATCTTTCTCCCCATGAGAGTTTTAAGATGCTAAAAGAACTATTTCTCCCTTCATTCCTTGATGACTGCCAGAACAAACACTACTGGCTAGGCCTTAGCTAATGTTTAACAAGCACTCTCTTAAACAACCCCTCACCAACTCCATGAGTAGGTACAGACTCCCAGAATGCAGAATGCAGGAGTGAGGTTAGTGTCAACTTGTAGCTTTGGGATCTTTCTGGGGTCTAGAGGAGCACACTTCTGGGTATGTCTGTGTGGGTCATGAAGGCATGGCTTTGGGGTCTATGTCTGGTCCTGGACCATTCCTCTCTGGCACTGCTCCCCTTCTGCTTTCAGGCCACCATGAAATGAAGAGCCTTGATCTACCACATCCTCCCAACATGATGTTGCAGACCATGAACTGAATCCCCTGAAACTGTGAGCCAAAGGAATCCTGTCCTTTGCAGGTGTTGGGTACTGTGTCTCAGCAACATGAAAGCCGGTTGATAAAGAAGGTGGGGAAATAACCTCCTCATGGTTCCTTTGCAGGACCACGCTTACCCGCTTGGCAACAAGGGCCTCCTGCTGCTCCTCCCACTTCTTCCGCTCGGCTCTCAGGAGCGCTTTGTACTCTGTGAGCTCTGGCAGTTCTTCCAGCCATCGACAACGAGCATTTTGCACAGCTGTTTCTACCTGGAGGACATCACAGGAAAAAGAAGTAGAGGAGGTGTACAGCTTCAGGAAGACTTATATTCAAACAGCAGCCGCAATTTCATGTGTATTTGCAGTACATCCCGCAACATTGCAGTTACAGTGACTTCAACTACCTTGCCTTATCTCAAACGGTTGACTGTAATCCTTTCTCTTGGATCCCCCTATATTGTCCCATGCAAATGCCACAACAGGAAGAGAGAATCTACAGATGAGTGAGAAACAACACTATCATCTTAGAATCCTTTACACGAAGTACCATTTGGCATTTCCAACAAGGGTCTATTTATCTTGGGGAGAAGGACAAGGCACACCAGAGGGTTGCCTGGTGACAGCTGCTACCCAGTCACTACCCTGCACATACACACCACTAAAGTGTACAGCCTTACACCTGTCATTTTCCCCCTGACAAGAATTAGCTTGTACAAGTCCAGCATGGGAGCACATGCTTGTCAGCCCACTACTCTGGGAGGCTGAGGCAGGAGGATCCAAAGTTTGAGCCCAGCCTGAGCAACTCAGTGACTTAATGGAAGCTTGTCTCAAAATAAAAAATAAATATAGGTCTGGGGATGCAGCTTAGTGTAAAGTCCTTAGGTTCAATCCCAGTACCACTAAAAAAATTTTTTAAAATAAATAAAATTTTTTATAAAAGAATGAGGGCGAGACCTCAGTTCAGGAAAAAAAGTAAGACTTGAATTATGAAGGTGATCTGGTTTTAAGAAGGTCATTCATTAAATAGCTTTCTTTATCCCATTCTTTTAAAATATGCATAAATATACATATACATTCATACACACAAAAGCAGAGTTGATGAGGCTGTATTCCTCATCAAACTATCAAACACAATCACATGTAAACCCCAGGGAATTAAAAATATGGAGAAAGGATAAAGTTCTTATAGGAATTTATATTGTTTACAAAGTTATTATGAAACATTTCATTTATACTATTATATGCTATTGTTTTTCTTCATAAGATCTAAGATTTCATAAATACCAATGAAGCACCCTTAAACATATTTCTTATTCCATGGAACACTTTCTTATTCATACAGATATCCTCGTTTAACAACCTAGCTGTTTAACAACTGCCCAAACTTATGACCTGCTGCTGGGATTTACGACCCATCTCTTTTTTTTGGTACAGTTGCACCTTGTTTATACAGTACTATAATTTTTGCTGATTGTACTGTACAGAATAGCACTGTAGCTTTATGTTCTGTTATACATTCCAGTACTGAATGCAAGAGTTATGCAAATAAAGGCAAAGTCTTCAAGTTGGAGTTTCCTTTGCCCATTTCTTTGTTCTAAATCTTGTAATGCACACACTGTATGCATTGCTCATTTAGCAACCTAGTTGCAAATAAGGAGCGCCTTCACCTTTGTATTTTAGGCACATTCACTAAACATATTGTACAAATAAACACAGTGTTCATGAAAAGACAAGTGTCTTCAAAATATGTATTATTTCTACAACGTCTGATACTGGGGAAAAATAAGCTACCTGGCATTTTTTGGATACTGAGGCAAAACATGCAACCTCATGTATTTGCCTCAATATACAAAAAATATGTGGTTTGTCTGTTTTGACACAGAAGGGAGTGAGTTGGAGCAGTCTTTGGAGGTCTGTTGGTCACTTGCGATGCACGCAGAGCAGCTGTGCCAAGGGCCAGAAAAGTACCGGTGCGCTCTCTAGTGGGCTCACTTCTCAGGACTACTTGCTTCCAGCAGCTCCTCAGGTGGCACTAAAACTGATTCATTTGGAGTTAAATCGATTCTCAGCTAGAAACAAAATCCTGAGAAGTGATGCTACCTCTGAAACTTCCTGAGATGTAGGGCGGTATCAAATTATGTAGCTGCACGTTATTTTCTCAAGGGTTATGTGTACATTTTCAAACCACAGGAAAGGACTGAACAATTAATTATCACTGTTGTTCTTGGCTCTGTGATGGTTTTACGTGTGTAATTTTTGTCTTACACTCCTGAACAGCAGGCTCCTCTGCTACATACTTGCTATGTCTTTCGATCCTCCAAGGTGTTTACTGCAGAGGCGGACAGAGCAGTGGCCCCATTCGTGCCCATCTCGCTCTCCAGGATATGTGGCATTGTCAGTGATTCCTGCAGTCAAGCAGGTCCTTGGCTCCGTGATGTCTTATTAGTAGTATTTTAGTTTCACTGGTCCCTTGCAATGACCTGCAGAAGCTCCTTCATTATTGAGCCAAAATTGCATAATTCAAAACTGTGTGATTAGTGTAACCTTGAAGAATTCACGGAAGCTGCTAAGATGCCAGGAAAGGGCATGTGAAGAAACACAGGAATAGGTTCTTTCCTGATCTGTTACAGATCATATCTGGATGGTAACTGTTTGCAATTGTGATTACTGATGAGCACCTTCTATATCACTGCCATATCATAAGATATCCTGGATTTTCCAACTAGTTTTCATCTCTGCCTTTTTTGGCACGTGCGGGATCAATATTGCCCGAACCCAGCTGATATGATAATTTGTTGGTGGCTGCTGTATTTTATTTTAAAGGTTACTGGAGAGCATATGTTCTTAAGAAAAACAAATCATTATCATTGAACTATTTTTATAATATGATATCTAATATGCATTTGCCTGTTTCCAGACTTTAAGAATGCCATGGAAAATCATGCAACAATGTAACAAATACACAAAATTTCAAATACTTACCAAAAGCTCAGTATGTTTTAAAAAATGTTATTTCAGGATTATTTAGCAGTTTACAATATAATAGCTATAATAGCTACAGCAAGGCTCAGGAATATCTTGCAGGCCAGAAGGACTGTCAGGAGCATTATGGTTTGGATCAACAATGGACCCCAAAGTCTCATGTGCTTGGAAGGTGAATGGATCATGCAGGGTCTAGAGCTGACTGCTGTTAGGTGTGACCGGAAGGGTTTATCTCCCTCCCCTGTTCCTGTCTCTCTCTGCTTCCTGGCCGCCATGACATGAGCAGCTGTCCTCCACCCAGACCCTTCCACCATGCTGTTTCTGCAGTTGAGTCAGCCAACCATGAACTGGAACTTCCAAATCAGTGAGCCAAAATAAACCACTCCTTCTTTAAATTGTGGCAGGTGTTGTGTCCCAGCGATGAGAAAGTAACTAAGACGGGGGTCTGTGAGGTCAAAACTATTTTCAAAATGATTCAAGACAATGCCCTTCCCACTCCTATCTCTCCTGTGTGAGCCCAAAGCTCTCCTGGAGCAACATCCATCTTAGGACATCAATGCTCTGACAGCCAATAGGAGATATGCTTGTGTTTGTTAGGTTTTTTTTAATTTCTCAGATTTATTTTCGAACACAGTGAATAGAAACAATCCTGACAAAAATCCCTTTATGGTCCCCAAGGCTTAAAAGCGTAAAGGAGTACTGAATCTAAAAACACTCAAAAATCACTGTAATAGTTAAGATAACTCTAACCGATAATAACTCATCTCTGCTCTGGTAACACAGGCTCTGCTTTCCTCAGGATGACATTTCTTGGAAACGAAGTTATTTGTCCCAGTTAAAAGCTGATATGTGGGAGGTGCAGAGGAAGGGCCAGCCACTGCTTTGTGGTGACTGATGGGGATTCCAGACCCAGATCCCCCGGACAGGCACGCCTGGGTCTCAACACAAAAGCTGCTGAACACATTCTGTGCTTCACTTTATTTATCTATAACTCTTTTAGGGGAATATTTTCTAAAATATTAGATATAAAAGATTCATAATTAAATTGTGCTTCTTTCAGATATCCAGCCATCTTTAACCCAGGCACCGTAATGCTTAGATCTCAAAAGAAAAAGTATTTTGTTAACTGAAAGAATATACATAAAAACTGAGAGGCGACTGTTTTATGACAGAATAACAATGAAGAAAACTTTGGGAACAATGGAGCAGGTTTTGTACTCTAGAAATGCACAAAAACTTGAAAGTATAAAGTTCACAGGTTTTCAGCACTAGGCAGTTCCAACAGTTTTGCTATAATTGTGCCCATTACCTGTTTGGCAATATTCTCACAATATTTGAGTTCCAGGTCAATTTCAAGTTTCTTCAAATCCCCCTTCACGGCTGTTTCCTTCTCGAGCCCTAAGTCTCGCTGGACCTTGTGCCTCTGCTCTTCTCCCTCGGCAGCCACCTCTGTCTTGGAAGCGACATCCAGGGAGGCTGGGCGGTCGGTTTGGCTGCCGCAATCTGAGGTCTTCTTTCTCGATGATGCCTTTATACTTTCATCCAGCTTCGCCTGCCACTCCTTTTCCAGCTGTTGGATTAGTTTCCGTTTGATCTGTTTTCAGAAGAAAAATCGTATAAGAAAAACATTCAAAAATGAGTACAAGCCAGAATTATAGCTGGAAAGAAGAGGAACCCACAGCTGTGTCTGAAACCCATCTAGACACTACCGTAGTCCTTGCATGAAGCTTAGAGATTTAGTCAAGGAAAATATGTTTCCAAGTAAAATTGGAAAGTTACTTTTCACCTTTATAGGAAGAAAAAAAAAAGCACCTAGAAGATTTAATTACATTGAGTAAGGTCAGCCTCTCTTGCTCTCAATATTCAACCTTGTGGAGCTTTGGATACTACCACTGCAAAGATGGCATAAAAAAACACTTTTGCCATTAATGTGTATTTAATTTGTATTTTGCCATCAATACACTTTCGGGGCTGGGGATTTAGCTCAGTGGTTCTGCCGCCTGCCTCAAAAGCGCAAGGACCCAAGTTCAATCCCCAGTACCAAAAAAAAAAAAAAAAAAATACTACACTTTCCACAAAGCAGGCATTGAGTAAATCTCATTACTGAACCTGAAACTGAATGATCTAAAAAATAGTTTCACTGACTTGACCACATGAGAATCTTATTTGTATGGTGTTAAATTTGACCAAGTGGTCTGCACTTAAAGAGAGCCGATGCTGGAAAAATGCCTTGATGATTTCTCCACTTTCAGCAGTACAGTGGACTAGAGCTAAACACTGTCAGTCAAAACTGTGAAGTAGCAAACTTGCTTTTCTTCCCTGCCCCCTCCTCCTAGGGATCCAGGGCTCTCAAACTGTTTTCCTGGCTCCCAGGTTAATATTGGTACCACTCTTGCGGACAGCAGAATCTATTTTAAATAGGGTTGAAAATTGTTTTTCATTTCCAAATGAGTGCTTAAGATCATAATTTGGTTCTCAGCTCTCTAGGAAACCATGAGTGTTTCGTAGTCTCATTTGCTCCTTGGGCAACAGAAATAAACTCTGCTTCTGGAGCCTGCACATCACGTTCCTTCGGATCTATTATTGGGATTATTTATGGGTTAATGATAGATATTATTCTAGAGTTATCAGAATCATTTTATAATATGAAATTAGACTTACAGTTTCATTTTTAGGCATCAAAGAAGTGCCCCCAAAAACTGTTATATCTTGGGTTTGGATGAAGAGACAAGAGCGGGTAATTTTCAAAAAATAAAACTGGCAGTGAGCTGCTGATGGCCCGATTCTGAAAGGTAGCTGAGCGGATGGGTGACTGTGACTGTTTATGTACTTGACAGTCAAAGATCGTCTGTCTGTTCAGGAGGAAGTGTCTCCTACAGTTAATTCCACATGCTATTACACACAGTGAGCAGAGGGGAACTGTAACCCACACCTCCTTCCGCTCCTTATCCCAGTGCGCTCTGGCTGACATTACTTCGTTTGCAACCTGCCGTTTAATAGCAGTTTCCTGCTCTTTCAGCCACTTGTTTTTTTCCATTGCAAGTGCTTCTTGATACTTCTCTTCAAGTTCCAGCTGAAGGTTGCTTATATGTTCTTCTTTTTCTTCCAACAGCTGTCTCTTTAAACAAAATTCAAGTCAATATGTATATAGTACTAATGGTCTCCAAGTTAAAAACAAAACAAACAAAATATTTAAACTTGTGCATTGCATAGATAGGAAAAAAAGACCAAAAACCAAAAGAACAATGCCTTAGCTTCTAAGGACTTGCTAAGCTTGTGTCGGAATTGTGCAAATGAGTCTTCATGTGCGTGGGAGCAGTACTCTTTGCCTCATCTGCACACCCACAGCCTCATGGAGGATCACCCATCAGAAGGGTGTTGTGTGTGTGTCTCTTCTCCTCCCTTTCCCTTTCCCTGACGGTGTCAAGCTAAAGTGTGAGGGAAAAGCTGTGTGAGCTGAGAAATGAGCTGCCACTCCCACAACACTCGTGACTCAGGGAAGGGTACCCAGCACCTCACAGCTGCCTGTCTCGGGGACCCCACCTTGTCCCTCCCTAAGCTGAGCTGTGGGGAAGGGCGCGTCTCAAGGGGAAGAGCTACCAGAAGTCCCCTGCCCCAGCCTACTCTGGAGTTCAGTGAGATTCTTGCCTTTCGTCCCTGAGAGACATTTCCAGGAAAACCAACTGCTATACCTCTGTCCACCTCCTCGGGATATGAGAAGATTCAATAAAGTCTCCAAAGTGTAAAGGTGTTCCCCTTCTGACTGGCTTACAGGGATTACCTAGGGCTTATATAAGTCTATATTAAAAAAATAAAAATAAAAAACTGAGAGAATTCCAAGAGAAGGAAGAAATGAAACTTCTACTGCTCTAAATCCATTGGTCCATTAAGTGAGGGCCAGGTAAAACTACAAAATGATAGGAGAGGGAGATTTCAGGGATCCTGGTGAGTAAACACATTGCTAAAGGTCTATACAACTATATATCTAATGAGAAAAATGATAACTTTTACTGCATGATAATTTAAGTTTTTTGAAGAAGAATATTAACCTAATTAAAGTTTTTTATGAGCCAAACAGCAGTTTTAACTTCCTTTCTTGCATTTATGCATAAACACTTGTACGCCAAATTATTAGTCAGTAGCAGCTATTAACTACAACTGAGGAGATCCAATCTTACAGCCAAATTGATTGTTTTTAAAGTACCAAAACAAATTCCTGAAAAGAATTACCTTTTGGAGAGAATTTCTCTTATGTTCTTGCCAATTTATATATTTTTTTAAATGGAATCATTGTAGAGAGCTTCTCCCCATTTCCACTTTTAAAACATTACTGGAAGCTGAAACTCCATTTCTAGGTAATTTAAGATCCCTTTTAACTTTTACACTGCCAACACTAACTACAGTGGCTCCCTTTAGAAGTTATTTTTACACTAACTGATAAGTATACATGGCATGTTTTCCCACCACCTTAACCTATTAAAAATAATGAAAATATTCAATGAACCGAAGGTCTCACCTGCTCTCTACTGTTCTTTTTAAATCTGTGGCACCAACCCCTGGCTGTAATGTAACTTATTAAAACACCTCTTCAGAGAACATTTACGTGAGCCTTTAAGCATATGCCCCAGTCTAGAGGCAGGTGGCTCTCAAAGCGCGGTCGGCAGCTGGTGCCAGGCACAAGGGCTCCTTACCAGGCTGGGGCCGAGGCGGGGGAAGTCAGGCGACTGGAGATGTGACGGAGACTCAACCCCAGGGCTCCCCCAGGGTAGCCAGAGGAGGCCAGGGGCTAGGGAACTTCCTGTCGCCCCTCAGCTTCTCTGAGAGGCTACAGTGACAGCCTGGCCCAGCCTGGCCCAGCCCCAAAGCGCCCACCTCACCACCAGCCCCGTCACCAGACCACGCCCAGAGTGCCACCCTCTTCCAGGGCACTAGGACAGAGCCACTGAGAGAGAGACGGGTCCGAGGAGAGTGTGCTAAGGAACCCTGAGCAGTCAGCAGATGGGTGACACACAGCCCGGGTCTCGTCCACTCCTCCTGACCTTCCAGAATGCATCAACAGGAAACACCATTTGTCCCAGGTCTATGTCACTTTTAAAATGATTTCTATTCTTACTGCATTACGGTGTGACCCAGCCACGTTAGGGTCTCTCTGAACCCCCTCCACTTCCCCAGACTAAGGGTAGTGGTTTGCATGACAATCCCAAGGGAGGCCTGAGGAGGAACACGGTGTAGAAACAGCACAAACTTCACGGTACCTCCTGCTCCTGGGCCTCCTGTTCCTTCTCAACGGCCTTCCTGAGAGCTGCTTCGAGGTTGTCCTTCTCCCTGCACACTTGCAGGTAGCATTCCTGCACAGCAACCAGCTCCTTGCTTGTCTTATCTAGGTCAGACCTTAGGTACACAAAACCAGCAACTACATGATCAAAAAATATATATGTATGGAAGGGCCCCACAACAATTTCTCTCCAAATTATAGACTAGGGGAATGCTGCCTCTACAGCTAAAGGACAGCTAAGCTTTGTTCTCACCGGAGTTGCAAGGTAGTCCCTTCATAAGCCTCAAAGAGCTGCTGCTTCTCCAAAGTGTGCTTTGCTAACAGGATCTCACGGATTTGGGCTTTCATGGCTTCGTGGTGCTGCTGGTAAGTCCGCTCACACCTAGTAACAGAGGGCAGAATCTCAGGCCACGCCCGGCTGAGGAGAAACACGAGAACAAACTGGTTTGTTTCCTTTCTTCCTTCTTCCTTTTCTTCCTTTCTTCCCTTCCTCCTTCCCTCCCTCCCTTCCTTCCCATCCCTTCCTTCTAATGCAAATTATAATTAAGGTGAGACTGCAGACAGGCAGGTCTGCCCATACCCTACCGAGGTCCCGAGTCCCAAGGAACACGCTGAATCAGCCCGCACCCCGGCAACAATCCACTGGAAACCCGCCCCCGCCCCCCCACAGCTCCTCTCTACAGCCACCTGGTTCCACACTACAAAGACACAGAGGACACCGGACCACCAGACCACAGTACTGAGTCCTGCCACTCCTGGGCCAGAGGTAGGGGCTTCTGAGCCACCATCCCACTGCTCCTGGTCCAGAGGAAAGGGCTTCCCGGTCACCAGCCCTCCCGCTCCTCCCAGCCCACAGACAAGGGCTTTTGGGTCACCATCCCTACCGCTGCTCCTGGCCCCTCTCCCACCTCTCCCAGCTCAGAGGAGGTAATCCGTGCAGGCACCAACAGCCCCCTCCCCCCATCAAAATGAGAAAACATGTAAATAAGTCTCAAAACCAGACTTCCAGATCACCTACAGCAACCTCAAAGGGAAATGAGATGGAACACTCTGATACTTAACCACGTGGACTCACTGAACTGGCAACAAAAGGGGATCTGGAGAAAATGAAATCAGAAATAATTTCTCAGATAACAGGAGAAAATGTGCTCCTAGTGAAAGACATGATTAATAAATCTATAGAGGAACTCAGGAACATGATGGAATTCCAACATAGGAAACAAAAGGAATCCATAAAACAGATGCAAATAGATTTCCAGGAGATGAAAAACTCCATTGAAAGTCTACACAGCAGAATGAGCCAA